AGAATGGGAAGTCTTACGAAAATAAATCTGGAGAGAACCAATCTATAGACAAGACTGATACTGTAGCAATTCCAAATGGTGTTGTAACAAATAATTCTGGCTATATTACTAATGGTTATATGGGCAAAGGAGCAGATAATGATGGTAGTGGATCTGAGAGCGGATATACCACTCCTAAAAAAAGGAAAGCTAGGCGCAATAGTGCCAAGGGTTGTGAAAACCTTAATTTAGTGCAGGACAAAATAATGCAACAAGAGACCAATGTCCCAACCTTAAAACAGGGACTTGAAACTTTCAAGCCTGACTACAGTGAACAATAGGGAAATCGAGTAGATGGTTCAAAGCCTATTTGGAAGTATGAAACTGGGCCCGGAGGAACAAGTCAAGGAAAACCTGCTGTGGGTGATATGCTACGGAAAAGCTCTGATATTAAGCCTAGTGTGAGCAGCAAAAAGTTTGATGATCGGCCCAAAGGAAAGCATACTTCTGCTGTTGCCTCCAAAGAGGACTCATGGACCCTGTTTAAACCACCCCCAGTTTTTCCAGTGGACAATAGCAGTGCTAAAATTGTTCCTAAAATAAGTTATGCAAGCAAAGTTAAGGAAAACCTCAACAAAACTGTACAGAACTCTTCTGTGTCACCATCTTCATCTTCATCCTCCTCATCATCTACTGGGGAAACTCAGACCCAGTCTTCAAGTCGATTATCCCAGGTCCCTATGTCAGCGCTGAAATCTGTTACTTCGGCCAGCTTTTCTAATGGGCCAGTTTTAGCAGGGACTGATGCAAGTGTGTATTCTCCAGGGGGTCAGCCACTGCTAACTACTGCTGCTAATACTCTAACACCCATCTCTTCTGGGACTGATTCAGTTCTGCAAGACATGAGTCTGACTTCAGCAGCTGTTGAACAAATTAAGTCCAGCCTTTTTATCTACCCTTCAAATATGCAAACTGTGCTGTTGAGCACAGCACAAGTGGATCTGCCCTCTCAGACAGATCAGCAAAACCTGGGGGATATCTTCCAAAATCAGTGGGGTTTATCATTTATCAATGAACCCAGTGCTGGCCCTGAAACTGTTACTGGGAAGTCATCAGATCATAAAGTGATGGAGGTGACATTTCAAGGGGAATATCCTGCCACTTTGGTTTCACAGGGTGCTGAAATAATCCCCTCAGGAACTGAGCATCCTGTGTTTCCCAAGGCATATGAGCTGGAAAAACAGACTAGTCCTCAAGTTCTGGGTAGCATTCTAAAATCTGGGACTACTAGTGAGAGTGGAGCCTTATCCTTGGAACCCAGTCATATAGGTGACCTGCAAAAAGCAGACACCAGTAGTCAAGGTGCTTTAGTGTTTCTCTCAAAGGACTATGAGATAGAAAATCAAAATCCTCTGGCGTCTCCTATGAACACTTTGTTAGGCTCCGCCAAAGAACAGAGATACCAGAGAGGCCTAGAAAGGAATGATAGCTGGGGTTCTTTTGACCTGAGGGCTGCTATTGTATATCACACTAAAGAAATGGAATCTGTTTGGAATTTGCAGAAGCAAGATCCCAAAAGGATAATCACTTACAATGAAGCCATGGATAGTCCAGATCAATGAAGGACCAGACTGCCTATTTGTAACCTTTCTGCAGCATTAGAGCCACCGTTCATGGGGGACACGAGGCTTTTATGCTCCTAGATCTTCAACGCAGCAGAGGAACCATAAGTAGAATCACAGGATAATATATACAAATATATATATATATATACATTATATATATATAGTTATTTAAAAAAGGCAACTGAAAGTAATTAGACTTCTTAAGGAAACAAATTTATTTCAAGAGACTACACATGGTTATTTAATCTCCGGTACTGAATAGTTTTGTTTTGTTTTGTTTTTAGTTTTTGTTTTTAAGTGTGAATGCAAGTGATTAATGAATATGGACTTATTAACAAAAAAAAAAAGAATGCAGATCTAAGATTCTGTTACCTCAAGAAGATTAAAGTAGTATACTTAGAAACTTTAGACAAAAGTTTCATTCTAGATGTTAAAGACATGTCTTACAGAGGCTCTAAGAGGCAGGATTTAAGAGTCTAAGGATATAAAAGGCAAAGATTTAAGACTCAAGGGTGCTGTTCCACAGCAACTTCATAAGGAACCCAAGACAGAAGGATATGTCTCAAAAAGATCTGTGGGTGTGGTTTTGGTCTAATGGACTGGATTGTTTTAAAACAAATTCATGGGAAACACACACAATTTTAAAGGAATCATGAATTTACACTTAAAAGGTCAGAGACAGTACCAAACACAAAGAGGCCTCTGCATTAAGGTCCAGCAAACCAGAGTTTAGGGCCAAATAAATCTATTTTCAAAATAAAGTCTGACTGGAACACAGTCATGCTTGTTCATTTACATATTGTCTGAGGCTGCAGAACTGAGTAGGTACAAGGTGGAAGCTACATTTAACAGTAGAGGTAAAAAGCTACAACAGAATCCATATGGCTCACAAAGACCGAAATATTTACTATATGGATCTCTGCTCTAAAGACTCCCAATTTTTTGTGGGCAGGAAGTAGGATAAGAAGGCTATTCAGTTGCAAACACAGGCCTTTTTATTTTTTTAAAGGGAAAAGAAGGATGACTCAGGAGAGAACCAAAACCTCAGAAAACAACCAGGGAGGGGGAATGAAACTCTAAGTAAGAAACCATCAAACATACCCTGCTGGAATGCAGAACTGTTATGGACCAGTGATTGCTGTGTGCCTCTGAACAAGACTGTCTAAATTATTTCCTACGCTTGTCTCACTATTACACGTCAGATGGGTAGGGGGTAACCTGCCACTTTAGTTCACAGGTTTTCAGATCAATATTTGAGGAACTGTATCTGAAAAAGCTTCATTCACAATTATAACAGATTTCACTAACCACACTGGCTTCAAGCTTTTGTCAGAGAGGTTTTGTGGGGACAAAGCAAGAACGTTTTCCATGTAGGAGAAATATAAACTGTTGGGACTAGAAGACTGACTACAGCAAACTGCACTTTCCAAAAATGGTTGCAACAATACCTTTCATCTCACCAGTTCATTTACAAGATGATCTTGACTATTCTCTATATCCCTGCTCCTTGAATCTTGAAAAATCTATGACTCGCCTGGGACTAAATGAATAAGGTGGAAGTAGTGCTGCATAGTTTTCTTAAGTAGGTCAGAAAATGCACGTTGCTTCCACCTTGTCTGCTGAAGCACTTTTCCTTGAAGCCTCCAGTTGTCATGTAAGCAGTCCAACTCCCCTAAGGCAACCACTGGTCCTTGCAAAGACACTCTATGAAAAGATCTGGATACCACATGAAGAGACAATGATACTAGCTGCTCCACTGCACGTCCCCCTTTCAGTTCCATCTGACTTCAATCAAATGCAAGACCTCTAAGCCAAAGCTGCCCAGTGGATCCCTTCCTAAATTCCAGATGCTGAGAGAATCAATAAACCGAAAGAAATAATAAAATGACTATTGCTGTTTTAAGCCACTAAGTTTGAGATAATTTGTTATGCATCAATATCTATTATAAGTTATTTAATCAACTCTGGTTCTTCATTTAAGTTTACTAAGCCCCCTTTTCTGTGTAAAGCACTGTGATATATTTAACTTATTTTACTTTTTGAACCTAGTTTTGATTTTTCTGCCCTAATATACATAAAATCTATTAATATCAAGATAGCATGCACTGCTGTTCAACACCACTCATATATTTCAATATTTAACATACACGATGAGAAACATAATGGACAACTGAATCCAAAGAAAATTCCCTACATGTAATTCAAATCCAGATACACTATAACTAGCAGATACCTCGCTTTTATTTTTTGAGCAGCTGATGGAAGTTCTGGAATCAGCATCTTCTTTACACTTAAATACTCAAATCCTGAACTCTCCAATCAAAGTATTTCACTATAATTGTGGTAAAGACAGTAGGATTACTTTATTTAAGTTTGTGAGCTTTCAATTAAAAAAAAGAAAGGCCACAACAACTATAAGAAATGAAGTTTTTGATTTGTTAACCTTTGTTTTAAAGTATGACATTATCAACCTGAAAAATTAGTCAAAAATTGTAACTACAATATTATAAGCTGAATGGGAAGCTGAACAGCTCAAGCAATTAATTTCCTAGAAGCATTCTAGGTTTTTTTCATATAAAACTGTACAATCCACTTAAAACATTTAACCCTTAATCCCCTATAAAACTCACCTCCAAGTGATTAATGGGGAGGGAAGGGCTCAATTTCAGCTTATAATAACAATGACAACCTTGAAGCTGGACATTTCCTGTAATATGGGATTTTGGAGGATCAAAGGCCCAATGAGATGAGATCCAGTCTCCCCAAATATCCTCAATTTCTAAGAAATGTTCTAGCATCCGGATTGTGATTGTGATTAATCAGGTTAGTAACTAAAGGTAAAGCTCATGCTAGCGACTTTTTGTCTCTCCAGCAAGCCTCCACCACCTTACCAATACAGTGTATTTACTGCTATTCTTCTTACCACGGTTTCTGACCTGTCAACCTGAGTGCAAGATCGAGCAATAATGCAGGTACTGTGTGTCTGACACCCTTCCAATAATGAAGCAATAAGTTGTTGGAATAAAACTTAATATTGGGACGCCTGAATACTTGGTTTAAAGGATTCATCTTGAAGGAATGATTAAGATAATATCCTGTAGGAAAAATAAGCATCAAAGCATTTTGAATGTTATTTGTTATTCAGAAAAAAATACCTAAAGTTAGACCTAGAATTCAGCATATGACAATAATTTATCATCCAAAATTTAGAACAGAATGAATTATGACACTACCTTTGCTTTTCTGACAAATTAAATTCAAGAGTCTTCTCAGTCACAAAAGGCCATTAAGCCTTATCATAAGCATAAACAAATACAGAGTTAATATGCAGTTTAGTGTAAGCATGGGTTGTTTAACAGTCAGAGGAACAGATAAGACAGAGCTAGTCACCATTACCTTGGGCTTCTTCCAGTCATCCTGAGGTAGGTATCATACAGGAGTGCTGGGGCCTTATGGCTTACAGCAATCCAGTAATGATATAAAAGGTGATTGGAGGTTAGATTTACATTGGGCCGTCTGAAGGCCTGTTCGAGAGGATTCCTCTTGAAAGTGGAAATTACATGGTATTCTGAGGAAGAAAAGTTGTGTAACAGCTTTGATAATAACCATGTAGTGAAGTTTTGGAAAAAAAATCATGTTTTTACAAAGCAAATATTTTACCAAAGATGTCAAGAGTTTGCTCATTTAAAAAACAAACTTTTCTACTTTCTATAGTAACTAAGGGAATATGGGTATTAAACTGCTGAACTCAAGAGGTTTTAGAACTCCCACTATTTATGAATTTTAACTAGATGAATGAATTTTTGCTAAAATTCACTCTTAAAAATCCTTTTAATGTTTTACCTATATCAGTTTACAATGTCACTTTCTATATTTCACCTCTCACAACAGCTTCTTTCTTTCTGTTCCTCTTTCCAGATTCTTATTACTGTACTTACTTAAAAAAGAAAAGGGAAATCATCATCCTTTGCTTATGAATAATTAAGTTGCTCAAATTAACATATATCAACAAGCTTAAAACAACCCCAAATTAACTTCTGCTGTAATTTATCTAGGTTATACAATATCAAAACAACCAAATCTATTATCATTTATGTTAATACTTCAATGGAAATGTATAGTGAGATATTCACTAAAAAATAAAGCTCAACTTGATTTTTGCTAAACTTCGTAACACACACAATGAAAAGACTACAAAAAACCTAACTTATTTAAAGTGTTTTAAAATTCTTGAAAGAACACAACTGATTATCATAAAATTAAAAGCACCCTAGATTTTTTTCCCTTATATTCTCTAACAGTCAATCGTTAAATAGAAATAAAGATGTCATAGAATAACCCCTAGGATAAAAGACAAAGATTTACTTTAAAATCAAAATTATTCCACAAGGGTAACAAAAACTGTTTAATTAGAGATAAAATAAGACCTAGTACACTAAATCAACACTGTAAATATATTTTACCTTGTATTTGACTTAAAAATGATCAAATTTCAGTACATTCTAAGTTATACTATTCCTGTTTTGAAACAAGTAACTACATACACACTACTGCTGTGAATTTGTGAATTTAACAGATTAATAAACACAACAGAAAATATTCTGGCAAAATGTATCCTACTTGCTTACTCCTTCAGCTATTCCTCTTAGGACAAGTAGCTATTTCCTGTTATATATCAACTCTTGTAGCTGTGAGTGATACTGCCTGTATAGGGAGCATCAGGATTAAGAATGCCCGTGAGGGAGGAAACAGCTTTATTTCCATACCACGGGTGTCCATGGGCACTGCTGCAGACGGCAGCAGAGAAACATTAAGGGTCAGACAAGGGTGGGATGAGGAGGGAACACACAGCTAGGTATTTTTAAATTAATGAAACATTATTAAGGACCAAAAGGCAGTATTAGTAGATATTCTAACATGGCAACTAAAATAAGAATAAACTTGTAACTGGTGGCTTTAATGCCTCATGGCTTATTCTAACGTAAAAACTCAGTGAACATTTTAAGTTTATAAAAATTTATTCTAACATTCAAAAATACAGGTAAAATCATACCAACTTCACCCCAGTGGAAGGGATTAGTGCTTCCAGTTGTACAGTTATACACCATGATGTTTCTTGGTCTGCAAAGACAAAGATCAAAGAAATGAAAAATTTTAAAAAGCTAAACTTAACCAATCTAAATCTTATATGATACTTAAGTAGGAAGAATGAGGACTTTTCTACCATAAATATTTAAAATATTATCTTTAAAGGATTAATTTTTATGTCTGAACAACTATTTACACTACCTTTTTTCCAATCCTACCCGAAAAATATTTATAAAAAATAACAGACTTCATATTTTTCTTCTTGTATTAGCATGAGTGCCTTTTTCTCATACCGGATAAAGAACCACCTTGGCTCATCCTATCTCCTTCCCATTTTCAGAGGCTCTAGTTAAAAAGAAATTGTGAACAGAATCTACTTTTACCAGAAACAATATATTCATATAATCATATCCCTCCTTTTTGTAAAATATAAAACAGTGACTTCAAAAATAAGGGAATATTATTACTTAGAAAAATGTCACTGAGAAGCTTAGGTGTTTAGGTTTAAGTGTTAGACCTATAAATACTACTACTCCCTTTTAAAAGGAGACCCATGAGTTGATTGAAGTGTACTAGTGTGCATGTTTGATATATGTAAGTTGTTCTCTGTGAATTTCACCTCTTTATATATGACAAGTTTATACCAAGTTTTAGTCTGTATTCAAAAAAAATACATTTTAAAAAAAAAATTTCTAATGACCTTGTCCATCCTGTAGGCAGTACACAACAATTTATGTTAATTATTACTACTGCTGATGGAACCACTTCAATGGCTGTGGTAAGTCAACTCTTGCAGTTGAAAGTGATAATATCTATATAATATCAGTATGGGATAATAAAACTGATAAATATCCATTATAGAGGATTTTTTAACATTAGTTCTCATCTCAGTTACTATACATCTAATAAACGACATTGCCATCTCATATACCTATTTACTCCGGAATACCAGGCTGCCGCAAGACTCATGTTGACAACTACATCTACAGGAACAAGATCTGCCAGGGCATTGTTGGAGGCACGCATTGTTCGAAGAATTCCTTTCCCTGCCTTTGTTGAAATTAAAAACAAAACCTTAAGATATAGAACCCATAGTGCATACACACAATACAAAGATACATAGAAAACAGGAAAAAAAAACCCAGAATATTCAACACAATTAAAAAAAAGGCTTATTACTTACCGCAATAAAAAGACCACTTGGTCCATTAAAGTTATCAATCCATCCCTAATACCAAAAATTAAAAAAAAGGAAGGGAGCTTAGAAATACTATAAAATTAGAGATTTACAATTTGAACTCTATAATTCCACAAACATACTTGGTAGTCTTCTTCTAAGAACTAAAAATCTGACTATATTCAGGCCAGAATATTTCTCCCCATCTTAAATAGTCTTTTCTGAGGTTGCAAATGACTAATTAAAATAATTTTCAAAGGGTTACCTACTCTTTCATTAACTCTCTGCAAAGAGAATTTTGCAAAAAGGAGTTTATATCTGTCAAATATTTAAGCTAAATTAAGATTGCTCAAGTTTGATTTTGTGCTATTTACTAAGACAGTATCCTTAGATTGAAGGAAATGGTAAATTCTCAAGATTACTGAATAAAACAGAGTAATGTCAAAGTAACAAAATAGTACCATTTACTACTACTACCGAGACTTAAGTCTTTTCTAAATCAATTTATCTCATTTTATATCTACGTTTTCTCTTATTTCAGCGATTCACAAATACTATAATGCCTTGCTTTTCTACAGCAAATCACAGAAATTTATCTTCCTTAGCATGTGAACTATACAAGGAGAAGTGAACTTGTTAAAAGACCTGCCTCTTTTAGCTACTAAAAAGCAAATGAAATAAAATAAGATCCTGAATATTCTCATTTCTATTCCCTTCACCTCCACAAGGGAAACTAATCCACAAATAATTTTAAAAGCCAACAAATGGTGATGTGTCAGTGTCCAATCTCTTATCAATGACAAAGAAACTTGAAAGGCATGGTCTCCTCTGACTCCAGACAATACCATAGCCTTTAATTTTCAGTTAACATTTTAAAAGTTTAGCTGCGTTTCTATACATGCAAAATTACAATACATGCACCTTACATAAAAGTACCAATAAGAGTGTCTCTCTCTACAAATGGAAACAACTTTGCCACAATAAGCCATGTTCAGTAAATAAAACCTGCTCTTAAAAAACTGCCAACTCTTTTTGTACAAAATTATGACTTAAAATTCTCAATTCCAATTATTTACAAAGATCTCTAGCAACTTACCGGAAAAGGTTCTTTCCAACTGGCACCAACAATTGATGGCCTTACAATCGCCACATTTAGCTTTGCTCCTTCTTGCTGTACAACATATTCTGCCAATGCTTTTGTGTATATGTATGTATTAGGTCTGTCTCCTATCAATTTGGGTGTGATATCATTTACTAAGCCATCATCCATCCACCTGGTAAACAAAGAAATTACATGCAAAAATATTTTCAGATATATTTTCATTTAAAAAATGAAAAAAACACTTTGCATATTTCAAATATATCTGTGGCTCCAACTCAAGTGTCTGACAACTTCTACTAAAAAAAAAAAAGGAAATTAGCTTTACTTTCATTAAACATCAACTACAAATCCAGATGTATATCCAGTTTCTATGTCTGAAAACCAGGAGTTTTTTCATATACCATATGGTAGGTAGCAAAAGTGAATTAGAACTGATTTATGGCCTTTTTTTAAAAAAACATCCTCTAGCTGTAAGTATTCATATACTTCCTATGTGTTTGACAAGGAGTACTACCCTGAATCTAAACAGTTGAAGTTGTTTCATACTACACAATAGATTATATTTTTTTCTAAAGTCTAAATAAATTCCAAATACATCTGGCCCCAGGGAATTAAAGATTTGTATATAATCATCATAACAGCATAACATGTTAATTATATACATTTTAAATGAACATACATTTACAATTAATATAAAAGGTCTAGTAATCTACTGTGAAGTCATAAAATTCCTTCAGCTCTCTCAGTGTCTCTGAAGAAAATGTCTACTATGATAATCTGTAAGAGGAGGGTAGTATACTAGGTGATCTCTATAGTCTTCTTCAGTCTAAATTACTAATTTCAATGCTTGTTTTCAGATAGTTTTCCTTTCTGTCTACAATACTATGCATATTTGTATACTAAGAATACTGTTAGTATACAGTGATACCCATACTAACTGATGAGGATGTATAAAATGGGACTATCAAGATAAACTTTCTTCTGTATGTGAAAGTACTTTTTTGTGTGGAAGGAAAGGAATATTTATAAAATTGAAAGTAGGTTACTATTCAACATAGGAAAAATTCCATAATGGAGGTGAACTTCAAAAAATGGATAAAAGAGTTGTTCCATTAAAAAATAAAATAAAACAGGCTTAACTAGGAGAGACTGTACAGCCAGTAAGCCTTATCATTGGAGGGAGATTACATAGTCAATCTATGAGTTATCCTAAAATTATCTGCTGGCCAGATTTCTTTGTAAACAAAGAAAGGAAATAATAGAATAGGTTTATAGGCTTTCTCAGCAACTCAGGTGTTTGGATAGAGAAAAAGTAAGAAGATAAATTAACTTCCATGTTCAACTTTTCCCATAGATATTAAACACTTCTGCCTAATGATCTGAGGAAAATGAGGTAGATATCTGGAACCATCTAAGAAATGGAGTTAGAAAACAGAAACCAGGGAGTTACCATAAGAATGTCCCAAAAAGCTCCCAATACTAACTTTCTTACAAGTCTATTTTCTCATATTTTATTCCCAGGAAAACCTTCTATGCTTACTTTAGAAGAAAACTTGGAGAAGCAGCTATGAACATTCTGCAGCGCCCCTGGGAAGTAATAATTTGACTAAGAAAACAGGGGGTGGTAACTAAGGAGCTGAACACGAACAGATCTCTTGGAAGAAGAGAGACCTAAGGGCAAACAGAGAATAAAGGAAGAACAAGCTTGCAGGAATATTATATGAGAATAAAAAACACGTGAAGATATAATGGATACTGGAATTTTCTATAATTATAGTCTATAAAAGAAGAAAAGACCCTGCTATTTATTCCTGCTCTGATCTGTTTGTTTCACTCAATGAGAAGGTACAGGCTGAAGCAAATGAAATCTTGGCCATGCTGAGTTGTATCCACCAAATCACAAACACTTCTCAAAGCAATAATTGATAGTAGGATGCTAGTCCTTAGAAAGATAATAAACAATAACACTAGGAATATCAATTAAAGAATCATGACTCCTCTGATTACCTAAAAATTCAAGGCTCCTCTGAGGATGTACAGTTGACACTTGGAAAAACACAGGGTTGGGGCATTGACTCTACTCGCAATAAAAAATGCCCATGTAACTTTACAGTCAGCGCTCTGTACCATGGTTGTGTATCAACACACTCAACCAACCACAGACTGTATAGTACTAGAGTACTATTTACTGAAAAAAATCTGCATATACTCGGACTCACATAGTTCAGACCCGTGTTACTCAAGGGTCAACTGGACTCCACTGGGCAAAATAAAAAGCATAATCTTTTAATAAATTAGACCTTGCTATTGAATAGGCAGTCATTAGTCTCCATGGATATCAGGAACTTTTTGGTGGCTAAGATTGATTCCTTGGAAAAACTGAGACTCTAATACCATGAGTAAGCTGTTCAAAGGCTTTCCTCCAACCATCACATCCGTTCAAAAGTGAAAGCTTCACCATGACTTCACCTAGAGTCATTAGGTACAAATTGATACAATAAACAGAACACAGTAGATATATAATAATTTTCTGAATAAGGAAGAGAGCAATGTATACATATGTGTGGATGGAGAGAGAAACTAAACAGACAAAGAGACACATGTAAATAGATAAATCTGGATTCAAAGTTTGGGGTCAAAGCAAATTTAAATAAATTTCAAACAAACATACTCTAAAGAATCAATCAGCTTCTTGGGATCCACAGGGGGTGGATAGACTACTTCATCAATATGCTTTCGATTGCAGTAGGCATATGCCGTTGATACATGCATGAACACTTCCAGATTCTTCATCTGTTGTGCAAGCAGAATAAGCTGTCGTGTAGCAATCACATTTAACTGAACAGCATCTCTGTAAAACAAAAAGTCACAATAAAAAATTGGGAAGCTATGTTTTTCTTTCACTTACTAAAAAAAACCTTATTTCCATTTTAGAGTATCAAAGACAGAAAGGGACAAAGAGAGATTTGTTTCTTTACAACTAATCCCTTAGCTCAGATTTTGTTTGTTATTTTAACATGAAGTACAGCCATTCTATCAGTTGTGTTTGATTATTTTAAATTACCCAGAAATAGACACAGATAATTTCAGTCTTTGGCTTTTATGCATTCATTTTGAAGTCATTTTACACTTTTTTTGCATCTTGATTTTTGAAAGTATACTGTTTTATGGAATGACTGTACCACATACAAAGAAAAGAATAAGTAATTTTAAACTGCTATGGTAGAGTCAATTAGGACAAAACAAAGAAAACTCAAAAACATTAAATTTTATTAACATAAAATCAAGTAAAAATGTTTCTCTTTTTGTAGCAATTAACCTAACCACCTTTTTAAGACTACACAATGCAAAGGAGTGTTAAGAATAAAACTGGTACATTTGTTACAAGAGGGACATGCAAAATCCCAAGGTCTATATATTTCCTTCTTGAAATTTATTTGAGGAAAAATTTTCACAAATGCAAAAGTATATATGCAGAATAGTGACTGATAAGGCACTACCTAGAAAGAGCAAAAGCCTAGAGCTCAAATATTCACTATGATATGATTTAATACAGTAGGTATTTTTAACACAATGAAGGAATACAGCCATTAAAAAAATTACAACTATAAAAGCATGGAAAAATATGTGAATAATATTTTTTATATTTATACATCCTGAAGTGAAGTGGGATTAAAAACAAGACTCTGGGATAAGACCTGGGTTCAAACCTGGCTTAGCATATCTATCAGCTAGGATAAGTGACCTTGTAAAGTCACTCAAGCACTCAGGCCTGTGTCTTCATCAGTAAAGGAGAACAGGTAAGAGACTACCTACTAAGATTTTATCTAAAATTAAATGAAGAAAAAAAAAAGTTTGCAAGTACTTAGCATTATTCCTAACATAGTCCCCAAATAGGCATTTAATAAATATTACTTAGAGGGTGGGTAGTTTTTGCTATCTATTATGTGCATGCTAAGTCACTTTAGTTGTGTCTCTTTGCAACCCCTATGGACTGTAGCCTGACAAGGTCTTCTGTCCATGGGATTCTCCAGGCAAGAATACTGGAGTGGGTTGCCATTTCCTCCTTCAGGGGGGGTCTTCCAGACCCAGGGATCAAACCCATGTTTTTTATGTCTCCTGCATTAGCTGGTGGGTTCTTTACCACTAGCATCACCTGGGAAGCCCACTTTATATTATACTTTCATTTATAACTTATTTGAGGGGGGAAAAAGTTGAAATACTCAAAACCAGTAATACTGTGAAACAAACTGGCAAAGTTAATACAGTGTTGGTGACACTATAAGCTGATACAACTGATCTGAAAGAGATTACGATAAAGCACCAAGAATTACAGAAGTAACAGTTACTAATTTAGCTGGCCTACTGAAATTTTAACTAAGAGGAAAAACTTGTTTTAACCCTAATTTTTCAAAAAGAAATTAAAATTTTCTAAATTTGTTGTTTCGGGGGATTTTTGGTTGCATTTTAGCTTTTGTTTTTTAATTGAAGTATACTTGATTTACAATGTTGTGTTAGTTTCTGGTGTACAGCTAAGTGATTCAGTTATATATATATTAATATAAATGTTCTTCATATTCTTTTCCATTGTGGTTTATTACAGGATATTGAATATAGCTCCCTGTGCTATACATTAGGCCGTTGTTGTTTATCCATTGCATATGAGTCTGCATTTGCTAGTCCCAAATGTTCATGCCAACCCTCCCCCACCCCTTGGCAACCACCAGTCTGTTCTCTATGTCTGTGAGTTTGTTTCATAGGTAAGTTCATTTCTGTCATACTTTAGATTCCACATATAAGTGATATCATATGGTATTCGTCTTTCTCTTTCTGAGTTACTTCACTTAATATGATAATCTCTACGTCCATCCATGTAGCTGCAAAAGGCATTATTTCATCCTTTTTTATGGTTGAATAACATTCCATTGTATGTATATATACCCACCTTCTTTATTCATTCATCTGTCAATGAACATTTAGGTTGTTTCCACGTCTTGGCTATTATAAATAGTGCTGCTATGGACACAGGGTTGCATATATCTTTTTGGATTATAGTTTTGTGCAGATATATGCACCCAGGAGTGGAACTGCTAGACCACATGGCAAATCTATTTTTAGTTTTTTGAGGAACCTGCATACCGTTCTCCAAAGAAATTGGCTGCACCGGATGGCTGCTATCCAAAAGTCTACAAGCAATAAATGCTGGAGAGGGTGTGGAGAAAAGGGAACCCTCTTACACTGTTGGTGGGAATGCAAATTAGTACAGCCACTATGGAAAACAGTGTGGAGATTTCTTAAAAAGCTGGAAATAGAACTGCCATATGACCCAGCAATCCCACTTCTGGGCATACACACCGAGGAAACCAGATCTGAAAGAGACACGTGTACCCCAATGTTCATCGCAGCACTGTTTATAATAGCCAGGACATGGAAGCAACCTAGATGCCCATCAGCAGACGAATGGATGAGGAAGCTGTGGTACATATACACCATGGAATATTACTCAGCCATTAAAAAGAATTCATTTGAATCAGTTCTAATGAGATGGATGAAACTGGAGCCCATTATACAGAGCGAAGTAAGCCAGAAAGATAAAGACCATTACAGTATACTAACACATATATGTGGAATTTAGAAAGATGGTAACGATAACCCTATGTGCAAAACAGAAAAAGAGACTCCTATGTATAGAACAGACTTGTGGACTCTGGGAGAAGGCGAGGGTGGGATGTTTCAAGAGAACAGCATTGAAACACATATATTATCTAGGGTGAAACAGTTCACCAGCCCAGGTTGGGTGCATGAGACAAGTGCTCGGGCCTGGTGCACTGGGAAGACCCAGAGGGATTGGGTGGAGAGGGAGGTGGGAGGGGGGACCGGGATGGGGAATACATGTAAAAAAAATAAATAAATAAATAAATAATAAATTTAAAAAAATAAAAAAATAAAAAAAAATAAAAAAAATAAAAAGAAATTGGCTGCACCAATTTACATTCCCACCAACAGAGTAGAAGGGTTCCCTTTATTCCCACACCCTCAGAAAAATTCCCTAAATTTGCCATACTAAGTGAATGTGAAATTACAGTATGATAATATGAACTACCACATCATGAAAATTATATATGAAAAAGTCAGAAATATAAAAATTGTTTCAATAGGAAAATTATAAATTTTATGCTTACATTTCATGGAAAACAATGTATTTTCAAAGAAAAACCACAAGAAAAATTTTTTTAAAAAATAAAAATAGTTTTGAGTTACATTTTCAATATTTAACAAGAAAAAAAATCAACCATTCTTTTAAAAGGCCAGAATACATGTCACAGATAAAATCTGGTCCACTTAACTGTAAAGTAGTGCTTTGATACATATCACATTTACGCAACAGTCGGAATGGGGAGGGTGTAGTTTTGGCAAAGGTATACAGAGAATATCCTATTATAGGTTTCTCAGGACAGGACAAGTTCTGGGTCGCTAGGAACAAGAAATAATTCATGAGAAAAAACTCTTGTGCCTTATTTTTTATTTTAATAGTATCTGAGAACCTATGAAAACAGAAGAAAACAATTTTTTCAATGAAAATAATCGGGTTGGGGTCTTACAATCATGAGTTTATCTTTTTCTTTCCTTATCTCAACTGAAGGAGGAAAATCTGTTTGAACAGATATCCAGAAAAAAAGACATTTCACAGAGAGGCTACTGTCCACTGGACTGTAAGGCAATGTGCTATTTTCTTTCCCATTTGCAAAACAACAGTGGTAGGGAGAGTAATGTTTTGGGAGCAAGACACAAAGGATATTTTGTTACAGGCTCCTGAGGATGGTAACAGAATTTCTGGGTCACTGAAAATTAAGGAATAACTTTAGAAAGGAAGCACACCTGTGCTCTGTCTGCTCACCTCTTTCCATTCATCTGCAACTGAGAGCCCAAATCTGAAGGCATTTTGTGCCCACATAAATAACTCTTAATATCCCTGCCAGGCTAGTATCCTCACTCTTGTTTTACCACCATCCAATTTCTACACCTTGAACTTTAGGCTGAGATCCTGACATGTTAGATTGGAAAGCATTCAGTAATGCTAAACAAAAATAAAAGTTCTCACTAGGTTTTGGTCATATGGATTCTTAAATGCATTTTATGTAACACTGGCTTTTGGTGGGGAGAGCAAAATGAACAAATCTTTGTAATTATGGTCCATCATTAATGCAGACACAGAAATCACTTCAATAAAGGAGAAACCTCAAATTGAACAGCTAATAAATTTTCTTATTCACCTGTCTTCTATATTGGGTTGTTCAAAATCTATGTTGATAACACCTCTAAGACATGGACCAGAGATCTCATCCCTGACATGACTGACACCTGTTGAGTTATTTAAAATGCAGATTGTTGGACCTCATCCTTAGACACTCTCCAATGTCTAAACTGAGTCCTGGGAAACTACATTTTAAATAAATTCCCCATGCCATTGTGATCTCTCCCTCATCACTCTCTTTCCTATCTCTGAAAAGATACTACTTACATTACTGATTACAAAAATACCACCTACATTACTGATTTCATCGCTAATGCTGCTGGTTTTTCTTTTTAACTTAATGAAGATATAGAAACAGATGTCTAGGGGCCAATTAATCGACCAAGGCAGGGGACCCAGACAGCTATCATTTAAATCACATCCTAGGTTCTTCCTAAAAGTTAGGATTCCCGGTTATTATCTCAAAACTACAGGGCTTGAATTTGGCAAACACAGTCCAAGATTCTGCATTTTTAACACATTCTTCAGTAATTCTTAAGCTTCATAACACACTCTAAAGTTTGAGAATCAATGCTCTTAGACTCAACAATTTCTTAATCTTTTCTAATTATGGATTTTTACTTCCACTCCTTTTGGAACACCTACTCTCACATTCCTACCCTGGGCCTTCTCACCCCAAAATGTTCCATCTCTAAAACCTCATACTGTGAATTTTCCCCCACCACATTATCTGTCCTCCCATTTCTGCACTTAAGCCTGTTTTACATCCTTATCATGGTCTCTAGTCTCTTGATAGTTCTTTACTCTCAACTCCATTGGCCCTGCCTACCCTCACTTTCCTTACTACTTAAGGGATACCAGGCTCTATGACCAACTATTTAAGTAACACCCTTTTTTATCCTCAGTATCACTCTCTCCTTTTGTCAGTATTTCTTTATAATTCCTAATCTTGATATCCATTTCTCCCCACTTCAAGATTTATAGACCACCATATATGAAAAATAAATGAGCTCTGCTACCTCTCAACCTGCATAGCACTTTAACATATGCTCTTCAGTAACTCCACATTTTCTATTTTATGGTTATTTAAGCATATTCTATTAGACTATATGGACTTTGCAAATAGGATCTATGTGCAATTTATTATGATTTATCCAAAAATATAGTTTGGGGAGTAAAATTTAGATTTTTTGCTCTGGAAGTAAAAGCTTTGAACCATTTTTTATTTGTGGGCTAACATAAAAAGTGGCTATAAAGAATAATTGCTCTGAAGCAACAAAGGTTTACTGTATAGCACAGGGAACCACATACAGTCAATATCTTGTAACAGCCTATAATGGAAAATAATCTTAAAAATAATATATGTGTATATGAATAACTGAATCACCTTGCTGTGCACTTGAAACATTGTAAGGCAACTAGATTTCAATAAAATACATATTAAGAAAAAAAAGACATAAAAATGCTAACCATTAAAAAAAAGAATAACTGCTCTGTAAAAGTAGTTATTATATGTCAACCTACAGTGTTTAAGGATGTTGTAAAATCACCACTTATAGACAGCAATACCCATTAAAACTGCTTCATAGAAAACAGTAATTTCAAAGTAACAGCTGGGATTAGGTGAATAAACATACATGCCTCGGCAAGGAAGGGAAGAACAATAAATGTTCATCAATCTCTAGTGAAAGAACAAATAATAATAAATTTTCCCTTTTGTTAATGGTAATGTTGCTTACGCTAAGGGGAAGACAAAGAGAAAAGAAAATGTTTGCCCCAAAAGTATTACACTTGGGTCCTTCTCACAGGGTTATTTAGATGAGTTTCGCCCGAATGAATGTTGTCTGTTTGCAAAACAATCTCCCTTTTGAAGAGATTCTTCAAAATCTTCAAAATTCCTCAAAATCGTCAAAAAAAGATTTTAATTTTCCCTTTGAGGATTATACCACAATTATCAAGTATGAATATACCTTTTTCCTCAAAACACTTTCATAAGGTTATGTGAACTTTTTTGGTTATGAAAAACATGAAAGCTAGAATAAGGGAAAATACCCAATAGATTGACTATATCATAATAAAAACCCACCTATAATCACACTATCCAAATATAATAACTAGCCAATATTAAAAGTATGTATATAAAACATGTATGTATACACACACATTTTATGAAAATGATATTATACTAAGTTCTAATAAGATTCTTTTGTCACTTCTGAATCTTGAACACATAACTGCTGCATAAAAAGAACTAAAAAGTAAATAAATAATTATCACCAGATAATAAAGGATAAAGCCAAGATTAGAACCAAGATATGTAATTCCAAAGTTCATGCCTTTTCCATTACATAGTGCTGTCTCAGCTTCCTCAAGTATAAAATGGATTTGCCCATTATATAAAGGTGGGTAATGTAAGCATGGAATGACATAATGAGTGAGAAAACACCTTGAAACTATAAAGCATTGTTAAAGAAACATAAGGGACTATTAATCATTTCCCTCACCTGAAATATAAACAGAACTCACTGTTAACATTTTGGCGCTGAACTGTCATGTCACACAGTGTCAATTAAGGTTTGCACTTCTACAAACAATATGGGGGATAATCTCAAAATCCTTTATAATCAGAACTAAACTTAAAAACATTTTAAGAAGCCCTTCAAGGAATCATGAAACCTAAAAAATATACACCATTCTAACGGATCTAAGACCATATAATTACATTTACATTATAAAACTGTATATAACATCAAAAGTGCTCTGAATTAAGCACCATTATTTGCACTGCATATACGTGAGACTTTTTAAAACACAGTGACCATTTGGCAAGCTATTTTTTTCTTGAAATAGGTATCTTGAAGGAAGTCCAAACTGTTTTTAAAGTAAACCTATATCCAAAGGACCCTTCTATTAACAGTGATACCAAAATTTTAAAACAAAAACAAGGTATGACTTCAACATATAAACCATTTTTTCTTTCTCTGAAAAACCTGAGCCTAACTATTTAATATTCAGATGAATGTGTGTGAAGTAGAAAAATAAGGCTGCTGGAGTATACACTTCTGAAAGAAAGAGGGAAAAGGAAATAAACACTATTAGTTGTTAAGACTAATATTCCTACCCAAGGTAAAGTTCCTTCTTCTAATCCACACTTCCCATTTGCTCTCTCCCTGCCCCATACTTAAATTCACAGCAACTACTTCTAAGAAACATATACTAGCAATCCAATGTTTTTAACTGTTAAGAGAAGGAAAATTTTTTTAACACTCTGTAGGATACTGAAAGCTACAATAGAGAGTAAACATTTTCAAAGTATTTTCAAAATGACGACTAGACAAGTAGAATTCAAATCAGATCTTTCAACTATGCTGCAGTCCAAATATCATATAAATACCTTTACTTACCTCAAATTTTCATTAAATCTTACTGTAGCTGCACAGTGGAATATAATATTGGTAGAATCTATGATGACCTCTTTATCTTCTTCACTAAGAGCCAGTTCAGGTTGGGTGAGTTCACTGTTGATTGCTATAATTTTCTCCCTAAAATCTGGATTTTCACCTCTCAATCTGTCAAAAAGCTATCAAAGGAGAAAACCATTTTAGGGCAGTATTTTTCAACTTTCTAAAATCCATCATCACCATCTTCTCCCCCAAAGATCAGTATTTTTTAGATTTCAACTATGCAAATCCTAAGGTTGCTTAAATTGTTATCATTCTATATGGAAAATACTCTATGGGGTCCACATTACTATCCCATTTTACAGATGAGGAATCTGAGAAACAGAGAGGTTAAGTAATTCACCAAGGACACAGAGGCAGCAGTTTGCAAAGTTAAATTTTAACTGTTTATGCCTTTGTTCATTAGACTGTATGATCCCTCAGCACAGACGTAAGCAGTATATATATCAGATCAATGTTTAAAATGATCAGATTTCTAAAATCCAAACCTTATCACTTTTTTTTTGGTTGTAGTCCTCTTTAGCAGATTAGAGTAAAATGCCATTAACTACACTTTACCTCAAATCTTAGAAAAATTTTAAAGGGAAAAAAAAAGTAAGTATATTAAAGGAAAAAAAGTTTTTAAGGAAATATTAGCTGGAAAAACATGTAAAGTATCATATATATAGGATTCTAATTTGAAAATAAAAAATTCAATATTCTTTAAGTATATTCAAAGGAATAAATTTAACTAGAGAATCAGTCAGATCCCAAGATGGTTACAGTATGAACGTACATTCAACTGTGAGTCAAATTTAATTTTTTTACCCCAGATTTTATAGACGGGACCTCCAGACCACTGTTCTATTACACCCTGACTCTCCAATCCATTTAAAGTCCATACATGTAGTTTAAACAGAGAGTCTTAAATCTGAGGCAAAAAAAAAAGTCTATAAAACCTACATGGTACTCACTTTCACCTCCCTACATGACTTTTAGTAAGTAATAGTCTTCTCCTCCACCTCTAGCTAATGACTTCAACATTACTGTTTTTATAGTAATTAACACTTACTAAGCATTTCAGATGAAATGAGTACTTTCCATACACTGAGAAAACAAGAAAATGACCTTTGCCTCAAGTTATTTAGAATCTTATAGGAAAAATTAAACAAGGAAAGAGTTAAAATATAGTGTTATAAGTAATACAACAGGGCTAACACAACAGTGTTATGAGACTGTACAGGAGCAACAACTTGCCCTGCTGGGGAAGGACTTGAGATTATAAAGTAGAAGAACAGTGTTTCAGGCAGGGAAAGTGTCACATGTAACCACCTAAGAGTAATAGAGCATTTATGTTTGGGAAATTAAAAATAACTCAGTAAGACTTGGCCAATGACAGGAGAAGGAATAAAGAACACAAACGCCATGTGAACAGGGACCACACCTACTGTGCTCAGCACACAGGCCCCAGATAACAGAGTGCTGACAAACACTTGTTATGTGAATAAACTCATTAGGTGGAAAACACTGGATGAATACCTATGGAGATGAGTTCAGTTTTGTGAATGTTGGCTGTAAAGTGTCAATGAGACTCCACAGAAGATCAATGCCACAGAGGTTAACTGGCTCTGTGGGTCCTAAATTCAGGGAAGACAGAATCAGATTACTGATTCTATAAACCACACGTATAGCCCTGGGAGAATATCACTCAGTAGCAACAGTGATGAGCACCCAAGGTCCAGACTACATGAAGCTTTTTCCAAATCTATTTTAAAATACAACAATTCATCTCACATACAACAGAAGGTGCTGAGTAATCAGCTAACTGGACCTAGTAAGAAGAAATCTAGGCCTAGGACAAATTCTGAAAAATATTTAAGGGGCTAGCAAAGAAAAAGGAGCCCAAGATATAACCAGAAAAGTACTTTTAACACATTGAATTCACTTTTTCATTCTCCCAATGACCTTTAATTCCTCTTCATATTAGATATCTCCACCACTAACACCAAGAATTGGTCATGCTGCTTCGCAAGTTACATCTCAAACTTGATGCTCCTCCCTTCTCTAGCCACCATGTTGTTACTCAAAACCATCTTTTCCAATGGTTTTAATCCACTGGTACCTCAATTAGTTCCTACTACTAAGTCCACTAATGCCCTCTTTAATGTACTTTATTCTCTTTCCAGAATGTATTTCATGGTCAGCTATTCTAATTCAATCCTTGCCAGCAATGAAGTTTATTTTCCCAGGGACATTGCTGCATATCACTTCTCAAGCTGGAGCAGCTTCAGCCCCCAGGGAACATTTGGTGATGTCTAAAGACAATTGTGCCTTGTCACAACCGGGACGATGAGCAAAGGGAGCTGCTGGAATGTAGTGGGCACAGGCCAAGAGTGCTGACCACCCCACAATGCAGAGGACAGCTCCCCACAGCACAGAATCATCGGGCCTAAAATGCAAAGAGTGCTCAAGTTGAGAAATTCTTCTAGAAGACAATGTCACATTACAGTATATGCCCTATGCTTATGCTCTTTTATTCCTGTTTCAAAATCACAGTAGACTCTTAAATGTTTAACAACTTTAAGTGTACATATTAATTGCTGCTTGATATAAAAAGAACTCATTTTATTGATTTAGCAGCTATGCTATATATATGTGAGGATGAATGACCCTAGGAATAATCAGTAGGATGTGCCATGGGGAATTAAAGGCATAAAATAAAATGACATAATTTTATAGAGTATTTTAGTCAAATATTTAGACAAATACTTGGGGACAAGGTCTTTTTATATAGAAAATAATGGCCATATGTTTAAACTACAAAAGTTCAATGAAATTTCAGGCTTTGAGTAGAAGATAATCATTTCCTTTACAAATAAGGCTTACTGATGAGGAAAAATTTCAGAAGCATTACCCTGGCGACTCCAGAGAAGATGCCCAACTCTTTCACATTTTACTTAGGTCCTCAATTCCAGCTTCAATAATTGCTCCTATCCAATCTCTCCTAACACCTCTACACTCTTCCTCATCCCCTTCTTAAACACTCTGTAGACTGTAGGTTCCATTAAAGCAATGACTCTTACTTATTCCTGAATTCAACCCTTTATATCGAGTCAAATGCCCAGCACTGAGCAGGCACAAAAAATGTTTTCTGAAAAATAAAAAATGAGTAAGAATAAGTTGGGAAATGATTATTAGTGGTTATACCAATTATAGGGGTTCCCTGGTGGCTACCTGCAGCACAGGAGACCTGGGTTCAGTCCCTGCGCCAGGAGGATCCCCTGGAGATGGAAATAGCAACCCACTCCTGTAGTCTTGCCTAGGGAATCCCATGGACAGAGTAGCCTGGCAGGCTACAGTCCATGGGGTTGCAAGCATCAGAATGACTGAGCAACTAAACCACCATACCAATTATAATTATACCAATTATAAGTGGTTCATTATAAAATGTCAACATGAGTAAACAAAAGGCAGAGATGGCAACAAAACACAAGCAGGAATTATTACATAAAATAGGCCTTGTGGTCTTAAAGCCCCCTTGATGCCTCCCTTTCCAAAAGTTTTAAGGGTAGTTCTACTACCAAGCTTGGGTTCAAATTAATTTTGGATATCTGCAAAAGTCAGCTCTCTCCTTAAAGCATAAAGATTTTTGCCCCTATTGGTATATCCCTAAGAATGTGCCAGAAGGCTGTCCCCAAATGGTCTAAGCAACACTGCACCCTCTTAATCCACAGCAGTTCTCAAAGTGTGCTAAGTTCCTAAGAGTCTCTCAGACTATTTTAGGTATTTCACAAAGTCAAAACTATTTTCATAATAAAACTAAAACATTATTTATTTTTCACTTTCATTCTCTCACAAGTATAGAGAGAATTTTCCCAAGCTACATTTGTGATATCATCACTCTTGATGACTAATGGAATGTGTGCTTGTACATGTATTCTCTTCCTTTAAAAATGTCTCTGGTTTAGAATCTACTATGATAAATACCAATAAGATATTTGAAACAAAACCTCACAAAAACAAAACCTTTCTGAAGTTATCAATAACTTTTAAGAGTGTAAAGGGGTCTAGAGACCAAAAGTTTGAGAATCATTGCTTTAAACAAACAGAATCTTTCAACCTATTTCAAGGATATGAAAAAATACAGTGATAAGGTAATAATACTATCTGCAACACACTGCAGTCAATATACATTTTCAAATAATTTGCTCAAGAGTTACAGTTAAAATTCACTTGGAAAAAATATATAAATTATATGTTTTTTAAAAACATCCTTATACTAGGCTACCAAATAGTTTTAATTTTAAAATGACATTAAAAGACAATAAGTCAATCTCAGCTCTCACAAAAAAACTGAAAATGAACTTCGAACCTACCACACCTTAAGAAGGCAGGTTCTTCAATCACAGTTATTATGTAGCTAGGTTTTATGGTGGTAAATACTTTAGTATTAACTCACATCTTCTTTTAGTATCTGTATAGAATCTTGCCATGAAATTAAGACGCTTGCTCCCTAGAAGAAAAGCTATGACAAACCTAGACAGTGTATTAAAAAACAGAGACATCACTTCGCCCAAAAAAGGTCCATATAGTCAAAGCTATGGTTTCTTCAGTAGTCATGTATGGATGTGAGAGTTGGACCATAAAGAAGGCTGAGTGCCAAAGAACCGATGCTTTCAAATTGTGGTAATGGAGAAGACTCTTGAGAGTCCCTTGGACTGCAAGGAGATCAAACCAGTCCATCCTAAAGGAAATCAATCTTGAATATTCACTAGAAGGACTGATGCTGAAGCTGAAGCTCCAATACTTTGTCCACTTGATGTGAACAGCTGACCTTCTATGCTGAAAACACTATGCTGAGAAAGACTAAAGGCAGAAGGAGAAGGGGGTAGCAAAGGATGAGATGGTTAGATATCATCACCAACTCTATGGACATGGATTTGGGCAAACTCCAAGAGATAGTGGAGAACAGAGCAGCCTGGTGTGCTACAGTTCATGGGGTCACAAAGAGTTGGACACAACTCAGAGACTGAACAACACAACAAATCTCTAATAACCTAAACAGCCTCTAGTGTATAGTAGGACTCATATATCTTAATGGAAGGAAGAGCAAAGGGGAAGAACACAAGTGCATGGGAGTCTGTGGCAATGGGGAGAATATCAGTAGAGTATAACTACCCTTGTGAGCTATAAAGTCACTGAGGAGCCCTCAAAGAGCTAGATTTGTTTTTTAAAACTAATTCAGGGAAAAGTTTTTCTAGTTGAAGTAAGGACTATTTAAAGTTTTCATGTGGAGACAAACTTAATAAACACTAGGATAAAAGTAAATATTAATTTTATTCTTTAATATCTTACCAATAGTTTCAAATAATTTATTTTTAAAAGGAAAAACTAGTATTAATTTACACCTCACTATTAAAACCCTGTGGGTATAGAATTACCTCTTAATGAATAAAAGGAAAATACAAACAAGAAAAACATGAATGCTTCACAAAAAAAGTAGTTTATCCTTCTGAATCAAAATTATATTTGAATGGAAATCATTCCCAACAATATAACACCTTGGTAAAGAAAAATTCTAAATATACCAGTAATTTAACCTTTTCTTAATTTATCCTAAGTCATTGTAGTGAATATTGGTGATTGTATTTTATTGTAATGCTGTAATTTTAAGAAAATTAAAAGTTGTATTTAAACACTCCCACACTTCTGTATAGGTCTTACTCTGTATGGTGTATCTTTTCTTTTAATTGATCTTCTGTTATCATACTTTGGGCTTCCCTGATAGCTCAATCAGTAAAGAATCCACCTGCAATGCAAGGACCCTGGTTCAATTCCTGGATCAGGAAGATCCCCTGGAGAAGGGCTAGGATACCCATTCCAGTATTCTTGGACTTCCTTGTGGCTCAGTTGGTAAAGAATCCACCTGCAATGCGGGAGACCTGGGTTTGATCCCTGGGTTGGGAAGATCCCCTGGAGAAGGAAAAGGGTACCCACTCCAGTATTCTGGCCTGGAGAATTCCATGGACTGTACAGTCCATAGGATTGCCAGGAGTGGGACATGACTGAAAGACTTTCACTTTATCACACTTTATCTCGCCTAGGAGATAAGCTTCCCATTACTACCCTAATCCATAAACTGACTCTTATTCCTGCTGCTGTTAACTGTGTTTTTCTCTGGTCTTTACCCATTTCTTTCTTGCTTTTGCCATCTTCTCTTTTAATTTTTGTAAAGAAGGCACCAAGTTTTTTGCCATTGCCTTTGGGAAATTAAGCTATTTCACTCAGCGTGTACCAGCTACAACATTTACTAGTGAAGTATCCAACTCTCAAGGTTACTTTTCCCATTGAATCACAAAGCCTTCCATCATCTTTGCCTTACTTTCTTATCCACTGAGGAAATAATACTGTAGAAAGGAATTTGTTATCAAGTCATCTACATTATATCCAACATCTATTAGCTACACAATTTCAGATAAAATGACAACTTTTGAGACTCACTGTCCATATCTGCAAAATGGGATATAGCAACATTTGTCCCTACCAGAGCATGAGCTCTAAGGTCCAATCATTAAGAGTTCACAAACACTGGCTCTAACACTAATTATATGACCTTGTAGAATGGGAATAACACCAACACTTACCTTATAAAGTTGCTGTAATAATTAAATACATACACAAAATGTTTTGCACATAGTGCCTGGCACAAGGTAAGCACTCAATAAAGGTCAGCCACTATTAACTATGGATTTCTACGGAAAGATCAAACCAGAATGGACTACAAATTATTTCTAATAAATTACTTATTTATTAACTCTAAAAGAGCTGTTAATCTAGAATTAATCATCATATCTTTTGATACTTCTTAGCAACTCTTTGACTGCTCAGAGTAACTCAGATGTTTCTGGTTTTGGTCTTTTTTTTTTTATGTAAGTCACAGCTGCCCTAGAAGGTAAAAAGGTACCAAATACCTACCTAGTAACTAATAAATTACATAGCTACTATACTGTTTTTGAACTATGGTGTTGGAGAAGACTCTTGAGAGTCCCTTGGACTGCAAGGAGATCTAACCAGTCCATCCTAAAGGAGATCAGTCCTGGGTGTTCATTGGAAGGACTGATGCTGAAGCTGAAACTCCAATACTTTGGCCACCTCATGCGAAGAGTTGACTCACTGGAAAAGACCCTGATGCCGGGAGGGATTGGGGACAGGAGGAGAAGGACACGAAAGAGGATGAGATGGCTGGATGGCATCACCGACTCGATGGACATGAGTCTGAGTCAACTCCAGGAGTTGGTGATGGACAGGGAGGCCTGGAGTGCTGCGATGCATGGCGTCGCAAAGTCAGACACGACTGAACGACTGAACTGAACTGAACTGATACCAAAGTTATTAACAACAAATGTCAGATAAATTCATTCATTTTGAGAAAATTCAAAAGCTTATGACCATGAAATAATTTTACTCCAGCTCATCTCCATTATGTTTTTTCTAAAGGTTTAAATGTGTAACATACTCTGTATTCTATATGCTCCTTCTATCATCATATTATTAGTCAAAGAGGAGTATGTGATTTTGCCACTTCCTAATACTTTCATGGGGAGCAATTAGTGCTTACAAAATTTTAACTGTTGTCAAAGTATTGTGTCTCACAGCACAGTAAGAATTAGAAACTAACTTTTAAGCATTATTATTCTGAAAACTATTTAAAGCATCTAGTAGTTACAGATAACTTGCCTCAAATATTCTAAAAACACATTAAACATAACATAAAGGTACTTTAGAACTTGTTATACAATTTTATCATGGAGGAAGGCTTTTATCTCCTACTGATCAGGACTCATACTCAGTTTACCGCCATTCTTACAGGACTTTCTACTAATTTTTTTCAGGATACTAGGCTGTTGATGATTACAATAATATACACACAAACACACTATTTTCTCTCTTCTTAATGATTACTTTCCATACTTACCTTGCAACTAATGACTTCTTCTACTCGCTCCTGGGGTGTCTGTCCAGCTTTCTGTCTCACCAAAACATACACTGAATTCACCTTAGGACAAGACCTCAGCAACTTTTCCAGAAGTACCTTCCCTAGGAAACCAGTAGCTCCAGTGAGGAGGACATTCTTGCCTTCATAGTATTCTGGGATGGAAACCATTCTGATCCTAAAGAAAACATGACAAATAAGTATCAGTTCAAAGATTTATGCTAATTTTTATCTACTAAAATCTCTTGGTATTCAAGTATCTTAAAGGACAGGCAAAAATCCAAGATGAATGTTAACAAAAGGGAACATTAACTTTTGGTTCATTTTAGTAAGGTAGAAAGTACAATGAACTGCAACACTAGCTTCTAAATCCTGTGTTTTTTTCCCTGGATCACCTCAGTCAAGTCACTCACATTCTCTAGGCCTGGGTTTCTTTAACATAGCTTGTACCAAGTGACCTCTAAAAAGTCCTTCAGCAATAGGAACCGAAATCTTCACTTAAACCTCAGTTAAACTCCAAACACAAATGAATGGTATTTCTCTGTCTCCAAAAGTATTTATAACACCAAATAAAGGTCAGCAGCAAGGCAATTGCTTAGCTTGTGTAACATGGTGAGGTGTCATATTCACCTACCATCACCAGTTGAAACAAGAGGTAACACCAAGTCCTTTCTTTTATATGTCTGTAGTGACAACATATCCAAAAGGTACTTAAGTCTCCCTTTTAAAAGAAGTCCTAGTAAGAAATATATCGGCTGAGTTATCTTCCTTACCCAAATTCCACTGAAACAGGAGAAAACAGAGTGAGTATGCTAAGAGAATGAACAAATAAAAGAACTATGGTTAAGTGGAAAAACCAAGATGCAGAAAGATTCATGCAGTATGTCACTATTCAAGGTTCAAACATATTCAAAAGAATGCATTTACTGTTTAGAAAGGCACACACATGATAATCGTTATGGTACATTAGAAAGAGTGTAACACAATCAGAGAAGATAATGAGGAACTTCAACTGTATTTGTTTTATTTAAGCTAAGGAATAGATACATGTATTTTACCCCTAAATTTTTCACAATTATAAAAAAATTTCATTACAATCTGAAAATCGATTAATAAACAGTAAGAAAAGAAGGAAGATAGGAAAAAAATAAATAAATGAGGCTAAAATGATAGAGAAGTCACAGCAGAAGAAATAAAACCTAAGCAAAACAAACATAGGAAAGGAACAAAATGAGGCAAGAGCTATCTCAATCCTCTAAAGAGAAAACCCCAAGTTTAGGATTAAGAAGCTAAATTAAAGCATACAGTAATAAAGGTAACTAAAGGTTGCTCAGAGAAAAGCAGAGCCACTCCCTACAGTTTTACTTTGCTGAGAACACCCAGAACAGGCACCAGGAATGAAAGAGGAGGAGAGCTGAGCTTGAAGTTGCTCTAAACATCCACAAATGGAGGTAGGGAAGATGGGGCATTGAGAGAAATAAAACAAAAACAACCAAAACAAAAGAAGTCTTCAGAGCACTCCTCCCCAGAAATAAATTTTAGGTCCCCAGGCTATCTGAATGCTGCTGGCCCTTAAAACAAATTCACACAGAACTCTCAGTAATTCCACTTGGAGAGAAAGCTCTCTTGGAAAAACAGACTTCAGAAAACTGGAAGGAAGCCAGTATCAGCTACCAAAATCAACCATTCTAGTCCTTCATAAATATGGATAACTAAGGATCATCAGATATTTAAGAAAATTAAGAAGGACCAAAATGAAAAGCAACAGAAACAATCACAAAGAACACTAAAGAAGTGAAAAATTTAAAGAAAATTTAAATTCTAATAAATACTCTCTAAGTCATTCAACAAGAATACTGCCCATCCATCAAATAATAAACTACTATGACAAAGGAATAGAGAATAAGAAAGCACTGGAAGTCATAAACGTAAATGTGGGTAAAAAATTCAATCAGTACATAAGTAACTATCAGAATTACCAAGTGAATTTAAGAAGGTCACCAGTTATAAGGTTTATATAGGGGGAAAAAAAACCAAAACAAATGTATCTATATACACCAGCAAAACACAGGAAACAAAGTTAAAAAAAAAAAAACTATACCCCTTATAATACCATACAAAAGTCCAAAAAATTATGGAAAATATCAACTAGCAACTGACAAGGATGTAGAGAAACTGAAACTCATGTACAATGCTGAAGAGAATGAAAAATGATTCGGCTGATGATAGGAAAGCTTGGCAGTTTCTCAAAAAGTTAAACACATAATTATCATGACTCTGCAATTCCACTCCTAGGTTGTTGTTGTTTAGTTGCTCAGTCGTGTCCGACTCTTTGCAACCCAATGGACTGCAGCACGCCAGGCATCCCTGTCTTTCACCAACTCCTGGAGCCTACTCAAACTCATGTCCATTGCCATCAGTGATGCCATCCAACCATCTCATCCTCTGTCGTCCCCTTCTCCTCCTGCCTTCAATGTTTCCCAGGATCAGGGTCTTTTGCAATGAGTCAGTTCTTCACATCAGGTGGCCAAAGTATTGGAGTCTCAGCTTCAACATCAGAATATTCAGGACTGATTTCCTTTAGGATTGACAGGTGAGATCTCCTTGCTGTCCAAGGGACTCTCAAGAGTCTTCTCCAGCACCACAGTTTGAAGGCATCAATTCTTCTCTCAGCCTTTTTTATTGTCCAGCTCTCACATCTGTACATGACTAGTGGAAAAACCAGAGCTTTCACTACACAGACCATTGTAGGCAAAATAATATCTCTGCTTTTTAATATGCTGTCTAGGTTTGTTGTTGTCTTTCTTCCAAGGAGCAAGTCTTTTAATTTCATAGGGGCAGTAACCGTTCACAGTGGTATTGGAGCCCAAGAAAATAAAGTCTGTCACTGTTTCCACTGTTTCCTCATCTATTTGCCATGAAGTGATGGCACTCCTAGATATATACCCCAAAAGAACTGCAAACAGGTACTTAAAAAAGTACATGTACACACTTGTTTACAGTAGCAGTGTTCACAACAGCCCAAAAATATAAAGAGCCCAAAAATCTATCAACAAATGAATGGATCAACAAATCACGGTATATACGCTGTGTATATATACTACTCTGTGTATATTATTCATTCATAAAAAGGAATGAAGTATACTGACATGTACTACACAATGAGGATGAATCTCAAAAACATACTAAGTATAAAAAGCCAGATATAGAAGACCACATACTACAGGATTTCATTTACATGAAATCACCAGAATAGATAACCCATAAAGACAGAAGGCACACTAGCGTTTGGCAGGGGTTGAAGGGTGAAAAGAGTGGGCAATGGGGGAAAACTACTTAAGGAGCTTTACTTTAGGGAGACAGAAATGTTTAGAAACTAGACAAAGGCAGTAGCTGCACAACATTGAACGGAATAAATGTTACTGAATTTTTCATTTTAAAATGATCAATTTTATATTATTTGAGTTTTACCTTAATGAATTATTTTTGAAAATACCAAAAATTAGAAGTAAATGTAAAAGATACTAATTGAAAACTAAAAAATATTGAGAAAAGTTAAACAATACTTAAATAGAAAGATGTGTACACTATATTCCTCAGATTCAACACATTAACCCAAGTTTAAGCTGTTTTTCTTTAGGTATAGAAACTAAGATTCTAAAATGATACAGAAACGCAAAGGGCCAAGAGTAGCCAAGACAAGCAATAAGAAGATGGAGGACTTACATCATCGCGTATTAAGATGTATTATAAAGCTACAGAAATATGGTACTGGGATAAGAAGAAAAGACTACAGTATATCATACCACGCACAAAAATGAAATCCAGAAAGACTATACATCCAAATGTGAAAGGCAGACTAGAATATGACACAGAACATCTCCACAATTGGGTTAGGGAAACATTTATTAAATAGGACACAAGTAGTACTAATCAAAAAGGAAAAATGTTGACAAACTGGAAACCACTAAAATTGAGTTCATCTCACAACACTATTAATAGAGAGAAAAGGCAAATCAGGTAAAAGATATTGGTAGTAGCATGCATAATGCAATTACTACCCAGAATATAAATTCAGTAAGAAGAAAAGAAAAATGGGAAAGGCCTGAAGAGATAATGAAGCACAAAGGAGATCTTCCCTTGCTTCAGATGTTAGTCAACCAAGTCCAGGAGGCAGAGAGAGCCCCAAGGCAGGATTAACCCAAGAAGGAACACAGAGACACACAGTAATAAAACTGACAAAAGTTAGACAAAGATAAACTATTAAAAGCCACAAGGAGAAAATGACAACTTACAAGGGAAAAATGACAACTTACAAGGGAACTCCTACAAGGTTATATAGCTGATTTCTCAATAGAAACTCTACAAGCCAGAAGGGAATGGCACAATATATTTTAAGTGATGCAAGGGAAGAACCTACAAACAAGAACACTCAGCCAGACTCTAGTTCAGATTTGACAGAGAAATCAAAAGCTTTACAGACAAGCAAAAGTTACCACCAAACCACCTATAAAACAAATGCTAAAGGAACTTCTTAAGGCAAGAAACACAAGAGAAGGAAAAGACCTACAAAAAATAAACTCCAAACAAATGAAAATGGTAATAGGATCACACACAGCAATAATTACCTTAAATGTAAATGGATTAAATGCATCAACCAAAAGACACAGACTGAGTGGATGAAAAATTTGCACGCATGTCCTTTCACTTACCACATCACTCTATTTAACCCCCCAAACTGTATGTAATGATTTTACATTGTTAGGTTAATCATGTGTCTTTTATGGCTTGCAATTGTAATGATCTTTTATTTTTTGTCTATTGATTGTGAAAACTGATAAACATCTTTTACTTCCGAGATTATGTTACTATTATTCATTTTAATAACACTGTATCCTGACTGGTCAACAGAAAATAATTTGATTCTATATCACTAAAACTACTATTTAACAGAAAGACCTATAATTACTTTTTAAAACCCAGATGCACATTAGAATTACCTTGGAATTTTTTTTTTTTTAAATACAAATGCCACAGGTAATTTTTTTCTCCAGAGCTCCAGATGTGATTCTAATGAGCTGCCATGTTTAAAAACAACTGGACTATGTGATGATCTTTTACTTTTATCTAGTTTGTTTCCCTTTTCCTATTTCGTATTCAGTACTCCCATT